TTTTTTTAGGGGGGCATCTTCTGGGCATGGAGCAGGGGTGACTGGGGGTGTGGGGGGGAGGTAGTTGTGAATTTCCTGCATTGTGCAGGGGGTTGGACTAGATGACCCTGGAAGTCCCTTCTGATTCTATTATTCTAAGTACACAGACTCTGAACGTTTAGCTACTGATTGATCCTCTCCTTCACAAATTAGCTTTTAAAGCCATGATGGTGCCATAAGTTAATTGTGCGTTATGTGAAGAAGTATCCCCTTTTTCCTTCACCAGCTTCATTGGGTGGCTTGCTATTACAGCACAGAGAGATCTTTATCCACTTATTCCACACCATACATTTTAAAATATACAGATAAAAGTGTAATATATACACATATAGTCCAAGATACCAGGTTGGCAATGATGCAGGAGACGATTCAACCCAGAGATATTGGAGAAATTTAGTTCTCAGATGTGTATAAGCCGAGTTCTAATCCTGAAACCTTTGCTGCACATGAGGAACACATGAAGCTGCCTTATACTGAATCAGACCCTCGGTGCATCGAAATCAGTATTGTCTACTCAGACAATCTTCAAGTGGGACTCCAGGGTTTCAGGCTGAGGTCTCTCACATTCACCTACTGCCTGGTCCTTTTAACTGGAGATGGCAGGGACTGAACTGGGGACCTTCTGCATGCCGAGCAGAGGCTCTACCACTGAGCCATGTAGCAGGTACTCATTTGCGTATTAAGTGACATACTCCTAATGTAGCCAATCCTGCAAGAGCTTACAGTAGCCCCTGTAAGAAGAGCTCTGTAAGCTCTTGGAGGATTGGCTACATTAGGGCTGTGTGGCCTAATATGCAAAGGAGTTCCTGCTACAAAAAGAGCCCAGCCAGAAAGTGGCCTGGGAAAGCAAAAACATAACAGTTGGCCCTGAAGGTCAGAATTCCAAATGAAAATATTCCTTCTCACTCTCCTCTCCGCCCCCACTGCTCTCCCCCCAGAAAACCTGAGAGTAAACAACCTAGGAAATAAAATTTTGTTTAAAGTCTTTTATTGTTTGCCGGCCACAGTAGAGGCAGGTGTGTGTGATTGGAGCTGCGAAGGGCAGAGGGGGACATCAGGGATCGGCCAAGGCTGCTGCTCCCTTTCAGACGATTCCGTCATAAATCTGCCCCCCCCCCCCATGGTGCATTCACATCCTGCAAGAAGACAGACACAATCAGTGTGTGTGTTTACGGGGAGCAGCTGCCGCCTACAGCTTCAGTTGCGGGGTCGGTGCCAGGAGGGAGGAATATTCATGTTCTGTTGTTGTGGCATCGGACAGGCTCTAGGGTGTGTGTGGAGTTTGGGAAGGGTGCTTGGGGGGGGGGTCAACAGTGGGAGGGCTTCTAATGTCCTGGGCCCACTGGTGGACCTCCTGGTGGCACCTGGTATTTTTGGCCACTGTGTGACAGAGTGTTGGACTAGATGGGCCTTTGGCCTGATCGAACATTGGCGTCTCTTATGTTCTTATGTAAATTTACCCGGATGTGATGGCACTAGGGTTGTCAACTTCCAGGGGGTGGATGGAGATGTCCTGCTATGACAACTGATCTCCAGGCAAGAGAGATCAGTTCACCTGGAGAAAATGGCCACTTTAGAAGGTGGACTCTGTGGCGTTATACCCCATTGAAATCCCTCCACAAACCCCGCTTTCCTCAGGCTCCACCCCCAAAATCTCCAGGTATTCCCCAACCTGTATCTGGCAGCCCTAGATGGCACAGAGTGCCCCTCCGGAAGCTGCCGCTTCCTCCCGAGCAGTGTTCCCTCTAAGCTGAGTTAGTGTGAGCTAGCTCACAGTGTTCTAGCCTCCGGCTTGCCCGTTTTTGTCTCAGCTCGGGAAGGAGGGCTCCAGAGCAAACTCATTTATGCAGCAGCCAAATCGCTCGCTCACAACTTTCACGCCAGTGGCTCATAAAGTAGAATGTTTGCTCACAAGACTCCAGGGCTTAGAGGGAGCGTTGCTCCCGAGGAACTGATTTCTGTAGTCTGGAGACCAGCTGTGAACCCAGGAGAACTTCAGGCCCCTCCTGGAGGCTGGCAACTCTATTTGCTGCCCTCGAGAAACTGTCATGCGGTGGGTGGCCCAGGGGCCAATCCAAAGGCTAAAGCTGCCCTGGAGCAAGCGGAGCCAAGGGGTTGGCGACAAAGCAGGGCCCGCTGGCCTCGGGCCTGGACTGCGACAATGGTCATGCTGTGCTTGCTCTTGGCCACCAGGGGGCCCTCCAGGACAGCAGCCAGGATTGCCAACCTCCAGGTAGTATCAAAAACAAGACAGGCTTCGGTGTGAATCCCAGGTAGTAGCAGGTCTCCAGACGACGGGAGATCAGTTCACCTGGAGAAAACGGCTGCTTTGGAAGGTGGACTCCATGGCATTAAAGGTAAAGGTTCCCTTGCTCGAAAGCCAGTCGAGTCCGACTCTAGGGCTGCGGTGCTCATCTCCGTTTCAAAGCCGAAGAGCCGGCGCTGTCCAAAGACGTTTCCGTGGTCATGTGGCCGGCATGACTAAACACCAAGGCGCACGGAATGCACCAAGGCATGGCATTATACCCCATTAAAGTCCCTCCGCTCCCCAAACCCAACAATTCTCAGCATCCCCCCCAAATCTCCAGGTATTTCCCAACCTGGAGCCACCAGGAACTTTCCAGTCACTTAAAGGGCCCGTCTGCCACTGGTGTTACCCAGCCAGCACCTGGAATGCAGGGCCAAGGAGGCTGTCCTACACAGGCCTGGGTTGGGAAATACCTGGAGGTTTTGGGGGTGGAGCCTGAGGAGGGCAGGGGAGGGACTTTGGTGAGGTATAATGCCATACAGTCCACCTTTCAGAGCGGCCATTTTCTCCGGGTGAACTAATCTTTGTTGCCTGAAGATCAGTTGTCATAGCGGGAGATCTCCAGACATCACCTGGAGGATGGCAACCCTTCTCCCACGTGGTTTTTCTTCTCAAGGGCCCAGGGACTGTTTGCTTCTATGAAGCAAGGGAAGAGGGTGCCCTCAAGGCAGCTGCCCCCAGGCCCTGTTGTCCTGTGGGCCTGAAGGGGGCAGGAACCTCATTCCCCCCACAGGACTTTCCCGAGCAGCCTGCAAGCCCTT